GTGATATTTCTTCTCCAGATAGGCTGCTGCTTTTACGAATGGTGCACCGTTGTCGGTTACAATTTCCGATAGCACCTCCCAGTGACAGAGTATATCTTCGAAAATCCAATCGCCGAGGGTTTTTTCAGTTTCTGCTCGAAGCATACAGAACTCAGGATAGTGGGTGAGTGAACACCGACCCTGCACAATGTACTTAAATCTGTTTGAGGGCAGCATATGCATTGTGTCGATATATATCTTTGCAAATATCAGGGCTGGAATCGCAACAGTCAGCAGAACGAGAATCTGGTGAATCTGTCACTTTTGACATATTATGCAAGTCTTGACGAACCAAGCGATGTCGGCCACGACGTCCGGCCACCAAAAGTGTTCGCGAATCAATGACCGAGTCAGAAAAATGCCTCGGTGTCCTAGTTCATCATGTGCTCCAGCGAGAACTCGTAGTCAGTTTTCTGATAATATGACTAGCTTGTGCGATCCTTGTCCATCCTTCCTCCAGAGACATCCATCTCACTTGAAGAAGTGGACTGCATACTTGAGCATCTGATCGTATTCTTTGTCTGAGTAATTCTCCAGTCGCTGCAACGTTTCTAGCCAGTCGGTAATTAGAGCGATGAGATGATCATTTCATCTGGCTTGTGCGGATCGTGGAACATCCTTGTAGCTGACCACCTTTGGGTCCTGAGTATCTCACCTGGTTTCTGATTCATCATTATTTTGAGTTAGAAGCACAAAAACTGATTGCGTGGCTGGCTCCTCCCCTGTTCTGAAAAATCGACCGTCCTCGGTCGATGGCTGATGATTCAAACTCTGTGCCCAGGCAAGGACTTGGTGCATAAAGCTGTTCATGCGATCCACCCAATCATCAAAGTTTGTATCCTCGATGGGCTCTGGTGGTGGGTCGCCTGGCTGTCTCGGTCAGTGTGATAATCCATCTGGACCGTGCATGACTCCTGGAATGTGAATTAGTCAGAAATGGTACATGAGGATTGCGATGACCCAACGGTTAATGCTTGCGCTCAGGGCAATATCTGGGTTCTGCAACATTCCCTTGATGTACTTAGCATCGACTTTGACTATTAGATTGCGAACGCCAATCAGATAGACCTTGAGGGCTCGCAAAGCACGATATAGACTGTAGAGCTTGAGCTTTGGTTGCAGAAACCTCTTCTCACAATTGGTGAGCGTGATGGATCTGAAATGACTGAAAAATCGCTTTTTCGATCCGTCAGTTGCACCTTGGCACAACTGATACCCAACTGCAATCAGAGACGTGTTCACTGCAAGAATAATCAGTGCTGATGAGTCGTAATTGATCACTCTCAAAGCCGGCGACTCCAATAATGCCTTGAGCATTCCTGCATGCATTTATTGATATTAATACTTCATCGTCTACTTCACGCTTACCTTGACAGATATTGCTCGAATCAGTTCCACTTCATCGCGAATCAGAGCTGAGGTGTCTGGTATGTGTGCATCTGGTTGTTCAGGATTGTAATGCAGAGCTTGAGTCTGAGCTGTGATAACCACTTGTTTCGCGAGGTTAATGATATGTGCCAGGCAACTACATAACATTTGTAAGAATATGTTTACTCATAGAGCTCATATGTGACCACCCATCTCACAGACTGACCACCCACACCCTCATGAGTGAGCAGACATGACCTGACAGCCCACATTGACCACTCGGCCTAAGCAACACTCATTGCATGCTGCAGTCATGTTGAGTCAGGCTGTGTGCATGACCTCTCTGTCTCACACAATGAAAGCTAGCCATTCTCAATCCTCACCTGTACCTGGTAGTCCCACTTTTTGTTTGTCCCCACCTTCGACCTTCATCATGCCTGGCTCCAACATGCCATTTCCAATGCCCTGTTGATAGAAATCTATACACAGGAGCGTGCATGACTGGTTGTCGAGATGACTTGTATTGGTGAGCATCTCCAGTTCTTGAAGACCTTCCTGGAGGCAGATGGGAATGCCCCTTAGTCTAGAACTGTTTCAATTTGTCCCTCATATACTCTGCCCCCTCACGTACAGTAGTTCAACTGTGTTCATCTCTGCTCTTGTGCCGTATGTCCATTGTTTCAGTAGCGTCAATCAGAGTTGGCTCGTTTTGGTTTTGCATAAGAAGTTCTGTCTGAGTCACTTGAACTGGCATTTTGAGAAAGCCGACTGACTCTACCATGTGGTAGAGGATGATATCGCAAGGTTTTAATGATGCATTCACATGTTCGAGCCTGGCTAGTTTGAAATTCTCTTCAGTCTCAGATGGCACCTAACTCCCCTCTCCCTCTACCTCACTTCCTCAGCTCGATGATGGGTGAGCCTGCTACACCCTCATTCTCCCAGCGTCCTGTGACACTGCTTGGTTCCCCTTGCAAGGTACATTATTTCTTCTAGTTCTCCATTAGTCACTGTCACTAATCTTCACGTGTAGGTGATGGACCCGAAGGACGCTGCCATGGGTGTGGTTTATTCTGCGTGGAAGGCCTTGCGTGAGGCAGAGCCTTTTGATTCACCCATCGACTTTGAGTTCCTCATATGTGAGTTCCTTTCTGCACTAGTAAGTGGCTGCTCCTTCACACTCGCAGTGGGCTAACACTCTCTCTTTCTTAGCGCGGTCTTCACTCCTTTACTGACTCTGTGTCACAAATGCATTATACCCAGTTTTGTCAGAAGGCCCAGGCTCATCTTGACTCCTTTGTGCAACCATCGTGGCTATTGTGGTGTAAAGAGCTGATCTCACCTGAGCAGGCTGCTACCTTTCTGGTGAGCAAGGTGTGTTTGTCAGATTGTATTCCCTTATCCACTCTTTAACGTGCCCCTCTGACTCTTCCAGAATTCGAGTCCTCCTTCCATGACTGAGGCTTCCATGTGCATGCCCTCTGATACTGAAGACATCATGGCTTCTGACTCTCTGACTGCTTCTACTGGCACTAATGACTCCCTTCCTACTGCTGTTCCTGTCTCGACTCCTGCAGCCATTACTCCAGTTGCAGCTCCCATTCCCCTTGGTGTCTCCATTCTGCAATTCAAGTTTCAGGCTCACACCGCCAACCTCATTGCTCTCGATTATCCTTCCGATTTTGATACTGTGGTGATGGAGGTCGACCCTTTGCTCGCTACTGTGATCTTCGAACCCCCAGCTGCACAGAGCTCTGAGGCTATTGAAGTCTCTAGCAATGACAAGGACAACAGTGACAGTGATGAGGTGGAGTTCATGGATGGGACTGTTCCTAATCTGTCTCCAGTGCATTTAAAGAAAGGCAAAGGATGCAGTCACCAGCCTGTGAGCCCGTCCATCATGACTGTAGCTTTTGAGGGCCAATATGCATGCATGCCAGTCCGTACCTTTCGCAACTGCTTCCTTCCACCAATATACCTCCTGTTGTGGCAGAAGCCTTCTATTGTATGTCTGGTAAGTTTCCGTGTGACTCCTTTGTCTTCTATTGCTAACCCTTCCTTTCCTAGTATTTGTATTGCCTGTCCTCAGAGAAGGTCTCCCGAACATGTACACTGAGCAAGTTCCATCCCAAATGTCACAAATGCCATCATGACCATAAGGCCTGCAAGTGGTGGATGTGTGATACTGCCTCAGATGTTGATGACTCAGATGGATGGCTTTCTTTGAAAAAGCTTTACTGGCACAAGGGCTGGCCGGTACCCAAACTACCAGATGCTCCGGTGATGGCCAAGGCCTCCCACCATCAAGTTAGCTATGACTGCTCAATGCATGATGCCAACATTGCTGGGAGTGAGAAGGTGGCAGAACTGGAGTTGCCGCTCAATACCCCAATCGATGAGTATGAGGCTGCGCTTGCCGTGGCTCCATGCCTCCATGAGTCTTCCCTTCTTTTCATCTCGTCTTCTGATGACTGCCTGTTCTCTAGTTCCCATTCATTCTCTTTTAGACACACCCGAGCCTGAGACAGGGTTGAAGGTTGAGGATGCACCTAAGGAGGTCATTGTCAAGCAGAAGAAGGACACCGTCGAGACTTCACATTGTAAGTTGGTGAGTCCTCCACCGCCATGTGGTGCATCACTTGCTATCTTGGGCTCCTTCCACAAACTGTTTTGCTAGGCCAATTCAGCAGGCTGCCTAAGCATTCTCACATTGACAACTCAGACCTGGACGATGTTATGACCCAGCATGCCTACACCAGCACTATCATCATTCCTTCATCCAAGATCCTCAAACTGTGCTCGAAGAAAGGCAAGGCTCATGCAAAAGGCTCTTCTCAGGTTGTGCTTGTGAAGTCTGAGCTGGGTAGTGCTCTGCTGGCCACCCTTGAACCTTCTTTGATCAGTATGCAACTCGAGTAAATAATGAAACTGTTGCAGCAGCTCCTCAAGGAGAATCGAGCTTTTAGGGCTCACAAGCCATGAAGACCATTGAAGTGTGATGGGTCTTTGACTGGGTCATGTAAAGTGGGCTGTCCACATGGTTCTCCTTGTCACATATTTAGCACGATCTCTCCTTCCACGTGCATGGGGCAAACGTATTATTTAGTCATTTTGAATAAACCTGTGTGCTGGATTACTGGGCGACTCTGTTGAGTGAAAATTTAAAAGACAC